TTATCCTGAAGTAAGTATTGCTCTATGGGTACCAAAATAATACGCTTGTGTCTAGATAGATCGGTGCCCGTGAGATAAACGTACACGGACCATCCGTTATATATTCGATACAGGTGGTCGAGTATTGTTAGCGCTGCAGCCACACACACTATAATATTATTTCATGTTTATATATGATTTAGCAGAGAACCAACTATTTTTTATTTTATAATTTATTGTACGAAATTTTAGATTTCCAACTTAATTTATTGTTTATTACATTATGCTATATTTAAATGAACAAGTTATATTAAAGATTACTGTCAAGTATCTAGGAAGTTTAGTTAATATATTTTCTATTTTATTTTTAAACAATTAAAAGTTAATATAATAAGTAATATTGAATAATAGTGGTGTGTATAAAATAGGTAACACTTTTAATAAACATATAACGTTTAGTTGATTTAGATAAATAGACCAAACCAATAAATAACAATATGTCATGTACAACCGGCTATCAATAGTCAATATTGTCTACACGCTATAAAACCTACAACAATTAACAAGTTTAACAATTAACAATAACACAATAAATCAAATTTTACAATTATAGTTAGCAACTTGTAATATTACTTAAAAAAATACATTATTTTACCAAATTTACAATGAAACAATTGACAGATGACCGAATGAAAGTATTTTTCGAAAAATTGTCCAAATAGTAAGTTAATTTATTTATATTTATGTATAAATTAAGTTAATTGTATTTTATTGCCTTTAATAAATCTTTAGATATATTTATATTAGTATGAAAATAAAACTTAGCATTTTATGTATTTTTTAAATTGTTTTGTAACATTTTTATAGCCAACTAACATGTCAAAACAAATTGTTTTTAATGTTTATATAAATATTTTTTTAAATTTAGCATTGGCTCAAATATAAAATTATTAATTGATCGTTCAGATGGAAAATATTGTTTTCGTGAAAAGAAGGACAGAGTTTATTATGTATCTGAAAAAGTATTAAATATGGGATCCATGATGAATCCTGATAACATAATTAGTATAGGCACATGTTTTGGAAAATTTACCAAGTCTGGAAAATTTAGAATACATATAACATCTTTAGATTATCTAGCTCCATATGCTCAGGTAATATATTATTATATATGTACCTAATTGTTCATTTTCTATATAAATTGCTTTTACCATACTTAATTGTACTTTTAGCATAAAATGTGGATAAAACCTGCCGCTGAACAGCAATTTCTGTATGGTCATAATGTTTTAAAGTCTGGTCTTGGACGAATTACAGAAAGTACAACTCAATACCAAGGAGTTATAGTTTTTTCAATGAGTGATGTTCCTTTGGTAAATATAATTATAATCTATATTGTGATATTATTTTAAAGCCATTTATTTATTTATAAATTTATTTATATAAATATTTATATTAATAATATTTATAAGTACTTATAATATAAATATATTCATTATTCAGGTAATCATTTTCATTGAGATTTTGAACAAATTGAATTATAATTAATTCACTTCTCCTATCCTCTAGCATATTATAACATATTTATAGTTTAACTTAGTTTACTATACTTTTAAACTACTGAACTAATCTGCACTAAATTTTATACAAACAGCCTTTGAGACTTACGGAATGTTTATAGCTTAAATTTTCAGTGAATTTAGGTTATTAAATGATAGTTCATATATATCTTATATATGAATTTTATATTTTTTATGTTTAAGGTTGCACTAATTGCTAAAATAAAATATCTAACAAATTCACTATATAACAACTATATTAGCAGGTTTTCCATCTTTTTCAAATTAATTTCCTAAGCAAGGTTTACTAACTCCAATATGCATTGGACTAATTTAAATTAAAACTGAAATACATCAATACTGTACAATATTTAATATTTGTTAATTGTATTACAGGCAATTTAGAGTTTATAACAAGTTCTAAATAAAATTTGGACATATTCCTTTGGTTGATAATTTTAATTATTATTTCATAAATATTTAAATAAAATGTTCCGTGAGCTGTAAGATTAAATATTTTTTATAAGTTTTTTTTTTTTTTTAGTTATGTATTAATTAGATGATACATAAACATAATAACATTGAAAATGAGATTTTTCATAATAAAATTATAAAATAAAATATTTGTTCTTATATGTCCAATATAATTACTTTAAGAATAGGCGGATAACAAATTTATAAAAATCAAAATACATTTAAAAAAAAAATTCTTAAATTCTCACAGTCGTCTTTAAAATAAAAATATTAATATTGAAATCCCCTAGATTATACTCTTACATTTTATTTTGATAATTTACTTAAGTATCAGAAATAATAGAATATAATACATATTTTATTGAACGTTTAATTTTCCACGTTATATATTAGTAGGATGAAAACAACCATAAAGGTCTAATGTTTTCTTAAACTTAACATACATCTAATAAATACCAAATAAGTAGCTCAAACGAACATAAAGCTATATCACGTGTTTTAAAATTTTTATTGTTTAGTAATAAATTATATGAATTATCCTATATTACCCAGCAGTTAAAATATCAATACAATGTCATGATAATGATTATATTAAAAAGATTGAAGTTCCTCAAAAATATAAATTTTATTCATATTCTATTTGACATGAAGATAAAAGTGTATAATGTTCACATGTTTGCTATTTATGGCATACATTTAATAAAATCAATTCATTATTTTATTCAATTTCAGGGTTTTGGTGTTGCAGCAAAAAATACTACTGAATGTAAGCATACAGATCCGCTATCTGTAGTTTGTTTCAATCAAGCCGATATCGGTGAATTTATTCGATGTGAAGATGATTTAATATAACACATATACTTGCATTATTATTATTATTATTATTATTATTATTTAAAATATTTTTAATAAACAACTCATTACTGGTTCTAAATTGAAAATTTTATTTATTTTTTCTAATCTAATTTATTTGATGTAATACATAAAAAGGACTTATACTTGAATACTCTCAATATTAACTTCTATAAAAAATTGTATATACCTGAAGATTTTAATGTTCTTTTTAACTGGATATAATTAGAAGATATATACTAAAATATTTGTTAGCCCCTTCCCTTTATATTCAGCACTATTTGCAGCTAATTGATAGGTAAGTAGTGCTGTCAATTAGACAAAAATTGATGATAGCTTGATATTTTTTCTATTTCGAGTATAAATATTCATCCTCTCCTCTCTACTCACTTTTCTCTCCTACTTTAACTTAATCAGTAATTGTCATGACTTAATGAGTTTATTATAACATTCTAGCTCAGAAGTAATTTTTGTATTTAAAATATATTTCATTTTACTAATTAATTCTAAAACACTCAACAGATTGGAACAAATAACAATTCAACATAATACATATCCTTATTATAACCAATGACCATAATACATAATGGTATATCATTATATTATGAGTTAAATTTGAATTTAACATCTTAGTTTTGGTTATTATTTTCTTGTCTCTTAAAAAATGTACAATTACCTGGTCAAGATAAATTTAATTTTTAAGTTCAAGCAATTATTAGAATTAATATAAGATCAGGGAAAACTTGGTCTGTTAAATTTAAGGTTGTCAAGTGAATGTCATTAGTTAGGTAACTTAAGGTACTAGATATATTAAATTTGAATTCACTTAAATCGTTGAGTAAAAATAATGATTTTGAAAAAAAATTATATTGCTATTTTTCGCAAATATTTTCTTTTACATGTAGGTATACATATTGTTAATGGTGTTATTACTCACGAATACCCAATTTATTTTTTATTAGTTGAATGCTATTGGTTTAGATTAAAATAATTTTCATCAAAAACAATTTGCGTAGGTAGGTACTTATTTATACACGGAGTCCTCGGCTATGATTATTATGTATAATAAGAATTTTATACTAAAAATATCTTAAAAAATGTTATCCCCCAATTTTCGTTTTATTGGAAATCATTAAAGAACAGCGACATTGCGGAATTTTAGTTTTAGTGATATATTATTATTATGGTAGGTATTGGATAGTACCTAGATATATACTATTATTTAACAGAATGACCCTCAATTCCAGATAACATTTCAAAAAAAAGTCAATTAAAGTTTGTTATAAAAAGGTACCTACTATAAAGGTTTTACAGTGACTCCAGTGAGATAATTGATGCCTAACTGGTATACCAAACTAAAGACTCTTAAGTAGAAGAAACGAAGGAAACAAAGGATTCCGCAGAGGTACCATTGTGGTTGAACTTCTTGATACAACATCAGATTAGCAAATACAGTCTAACTTACTAACATCGATAGCGGACTTAAAACGGTTGACGTTTCGGAAGTTACGACCACCAAAATGGGCATAGTTGCATAGATGATGCCAATTAGTTACGTCAGTATCGTGCGCTGAAGTTTTTACCATTATTGCAGTAAAAATGTATACACAGCAAACCATTCATTCGGTACCGATTACAATTAGTTCCTCAACAGATAGGAATGCGCGCAGTTAATTGTATGTATGCCAACCATTAATTGTCAAGTCTGAACTTAATTATCATCTTTTTTTCAGCCTTCAAGACTATCGCTGCAAACAAATTTATCGCAATCTTTCTCTATTCTTTGCAACTTCTTTCCTTTGTTAATTTGATTCTATAGTTCTACTGCTTGTAACATCTTTTTTTTGTCTCGATCCTCACATCGTAAACGCGATTTTTTCCCAAACGGATTCCCCTTAATAACCGTTTAAATAAACGAGTTTTCTTTACTCTATGTATGCCCAACCTACATTAATCTTTTTCTCGTAATTTTCACTATAATATTTGGCTTTTGAAACAAATTCAATAAAGTTCAATTCCTCATCGAGGCGTATCCTCCATTCTTTCATTATAGTCAATACCTACATGGTCTATAAATTCTAACATTTTTCGTACAAGCACTGCAAGCCTTGTTTCTTTTACCTTTCTCACGAGTCAGGGTCCATGTATCTGAACCATTAGCACTACCTACTTTTGGTCTTATCAGAGTTATGTACAATAAAATTTAATTTTTAATTTTTTTGACAAAACTTTTAATTCTTTAACTATATGATTTGGTGAGTTATTTTTGTAGGAAAATGTCTAGAAAATAATCATAGAGAAATAATAGTCAGGTATTACATGATTATTGATATCATTATATATTATAAAAATTGGTCAATTGGGTCGATACTGGGAGGTGCTTGTAGGGGAGATTACCCCCCATCACCCAAAAAATTATTGAACATTTTTTAAAGTATTAAATAAATACTTAATTTGCAACAATGCATAGAAAGATTTAAGCCCCCTTAAAATTCAATCAAATATCTACTTATGATAAACATATATTATGATGTAATAATCGTTAAAAAAATTGTTTTCGTCGTATTCATTAATATATAAGTATCTCGTGTATATGCATTAAAATATTTTATGATAATACTAAGCTGAAGAGAAATAGATAGTTATTTTACAGCTAAATATTGTAATGAAATAAAAATATAAGCTTCAAATTTTTATGAAAAATGTATGACGTTCTTTTTTCATTAAGAAGAAAAAGATATGAAAAAATTTAATATGTTTGTGAACTTTCAATTCTTATGACTTAACTAAAAAGTTCTATTACATCTAATTATCAACGTTAAGTCTCATAGCAGCTTATTTTGTTGAGAGAATGCCATACCAATATGTGTTATCTTCGATTTACATAAATATTATAACAGAAAATTCTCATTTAATGGTATTTAAAATTTATATTTTACTTATATACTATTTAAAGCATAAATTATGTAATTTCAGGAATATTTTTTCTATAAAATATTTGTAAAATTGATATATTTATCAGATGCTGTATCAATTTTTTTTTTTTAGTTAAACTATTTTTACTTAGCATTTATAGTAATGTATACTGAATTTATACCATCATTTATATTATGAAAACAAAATAAAAAAATAATGCAAAAATGTAACTAATATCTATTTATTTATTAAAATACTTAAGGAAATTTTGTTTTTCTTTTTTATGAAATCATTCAATCCTAAATATATTCTATTTTATATTTTATAATTAAATTAAAACCTATTTAGGCTATTCTTAATATTTATCACTAGCTTTTGCATTCAATGCTAAATATAATATAGTTATAATCTAAACTATTTCTAGATCTTGTATCCTTGTGGGATTGTCAATACCTATTTCTTCCCATATATTTACTGTAGATTTGTTATCATTATTTTTATTGAATGACTCAAGAATAAAGTTATCTAAAATTTCTACAAACAGTAAAATAATAATATTATTTCATATAACTATTTAAAAAAATTATAAAATACATTTTAAAATATTTACTAGTAAGATCCATTGTAATAATGTGATCATGGGTTGTTTCATTAGCAGATATAAAACAATTATAATCTTTATGATACATTTTTTTTGAAGTTTTACGTTCTGATTTATTGTAAAACGATTTTTGAACTTGAATAGTTGTAAGCAACAAATTCAGATCTTCATTATTATCAAAATTATCAGTTGGTAACAAACTCAGAGAAGATTGTCTTGTTTTAGATAAAATATAATTTGTTTTTTCTAATTCTGACACTAAGAGAAAAATAAAATAATATATAGATTAAAATATATTAAAACTTAAGTGTAAAATAATTTTAAATAAGTACAATATTACTTACAACTTTTATCATCCAGTATAGTAGAAATTAAACTTTGAATATTCTTCAAATATTTTATTACAATTGCACATCTTTTAAGCAATTTATTTTTAATTGATTCATCATTAAAACTGTCAATTGTTTTTTGATTAAAAGCTAAACATGCATTATACTCTTTTACAGCTAAAATGAAATTTCGTAATATTATTTTTTATAAAAATATATCTAAAATATATTTTTACCATTTTTAAACTGCTCAAAAGTTTTAGAAAGTTCTTTATTTTCAAAAAGGGCTGTAACAAATATTTTTTCCATAAACTTTGAAAAATTAATCATTGCATTTGAAAACTTGACATATAAATCCATGTTGGTATTTGCATCACTCTTAGAGATGGTATCAATAATATTCATAGAAGTTTCTATTGTTGTCTAATTTTAAATAAAATAACTATAAATTATTAATTTAAACAAAAGTTTAAAATAATTACTTGAGTAAATGTAAAGGGATCAACGATTTTGTCCAAAAGATTTTGTATTTCACAAATTTCAGAAACCCAATGATTTATTAATAGTTTTAAAAATGTCTTCTTTACTAATGAAGTTGGATCTAAATAAAATTCAATAATAGCTGGTACCATATCACTATCCAAAAGTTCCAAGCTTGATATACAAGATTTTAAAGGAATAACATCTAAATAATATTAAAAATATAAAATTATAAAACATTTAAATATATTTATATTAAAAAAATATTGAAGTTTTTCAAGGTAGAGTCAATAGATATATGACTATATAAACATGAAACCAACATTAAGTATTTCTATCTATGTTAACTCATTTTTAAAATATAAGTTCAATTGAAATATTTTTAAAAAATTTAATTAATTAAATGATCATTTTAGATTGATGTTATAATTATATAACATAATATATTTAAATATTTAACAAATTTTCTTACTTTTTTTGTCATCAATTGTATTTTTTTTAATTACAACATGAGTTTTAGAGGAGTGTTGTCCATTAAATGTTAATCAACAACTCTCCTCATCTAAACTTTAAATATTTATAACATGACATCAAATATACAAAAGCAATTTCATATAGTATTTTCAAAAAACTTAAACAATTTTTAAACAACAAATTTATATATTTAAATGGTGTATCTCTTGTATATGTTACAGACAATGTGAAATTTTAAACCACAATTTTTTTTTCAACAATTATACAGCAGGAACCAATTTACGATTTGTGAAGAAAATTTTGTACAGATCAAAAATGTATTAGCTAATTCAATTTTAATGCAAGAAGCAATTTGCTCCTTTTCAAATTTAGAACAGAGATATAACCAGTATACTTGTACACAAAGTTGTAAAACAAATAAATTCAAATGTAGAAAAGCAGACAGACTATATAATTCCAAGCATCATGCTTTTAAATATTGTGCAAATAAATAGGTAATAATAAAATTATAATATATAATAAAAATAAAAATAAAAACCTAGCGCATAACTTTTATTTTTTTAAAGAACTAATAAGTATTAGTTTATAACTTACATTCATCATTTTTACAACAGGCCACAGAAAATAGTCCAACCTGAATTAATATGTCAGTATATTTATCCAAATCACAAATCATATTTGATAAATCTGATGAATTTCTTAGTTGTATGTCAACAGAATCTGTGCACTTTCTAACTAGTTTTTTAACTATATCAAATGGATCATTAAAAATCTTTAATGATAACAATACACAAAATATAATTAATAAATTAATAAGTAATAAAAAAATTGTACAGAAATGTTAGTTCTTAAATCATAGTTTATATACTATACCTTAAAAATCAGATGCAAAACTGTTGTATTTATCCGTCTTTCAAGAATAGACAACGAAGAAGATAAATAATCAAATTGGAAAAAACTATCAGAATCATTGGTATCAAATTTTTCAATTTGTTGAATTGCTTTTAAAACCTTTAAAATTTTAAATGGTATAAATACTAAAATATTAAATTTACTTAATTATGAAAAATATTTACATGTTTAGATGAAGATGTTATTTCTAAATTGTCTATTTTATCTGCAACTTTAGCGATAGTTATTGCTTGAAATAAAATTTTATCGATATTGGGTTTTATAAGTTCAAAATTGTCTTTATTGTTTAGTAAATTTAAAACAAAATTCATTTGATCAATGAATTTTCCTGGATGTTCATCTGAATCAGGTATATCTATCATTTCCAAACAATCTTCCAACTTATAAAAACACTTTTGAATCCGCTTAATTATGTACTCGTATAAAACCTTACATAAATATAATTCATACAGTTATTAATATTAAATACAAAAAAAAAAAAAAATTTTAAATATCAAAATGATACATACCTTTTCAAAATTTAGAATATTAGTTTGTTCTAAAATTGTTATTTCATACAGAAGAAGACATTTTCGAATTTGACTTAAGCATACACAAAGCATATAAACATTTTTATTTTTAAATGTTTTTAAAAAATCTTGAATAGATTTTACAAAACAAAGGAGTGGTCCATTTATAAAATCCTATAATTATTTTTATTTATATAAATTATGTATAGTTAATGAAAAATAGAAAACTAAGCAATCTATTATTCACTTACTTTGAATATTAGTTTAAAAGATGATTCATGAAATTCTTTTTTCTCAATATTATACAAATATCTAGAACACTCGTTTAAAACTATATCAACTTTATAACATAAATCATCCATTATAACATATAATGAGGTTTAAAGCACAATATTATTCAAACTTTGAATTAAATTAGTAAAATAATTAACACTCAAAATTGATTGTAAAAATCGTGTTTGATTTTGAATTATAAATCTGTTTTATATAAATGCATAACAGTATAACACGTTACATAATATAATTATATCATAATTCAATGTGTAGTACCGCAGAACAATGGATACTAACGTACAGGTAGAGCAATAGAATATTATTCTATTATAATACAACTACCATTACAATTTAAAATTATATCCAGTGTAAATTACTTATAATGATATAGATGTATAATAATAATGATGCTCGGTAACACAAAAAACAATGCAGGTACTGAAATTCACCTGTTAATCTTTAATCTAATTATCTAAAACATACACTTGGCATTAAATTTAAAAAATATTTTAAAAAAAAAAAACTGTAATATTAAATAAAACAATAAACTGCCAAAGACATAAACATTTAACAAGCAGCTATATTAGGTGACCAATTCACGCACTATAACGTCTATAACATCTCACCACAACCATGATCCACGAATTAGATAATATAATCTCAATTGTTCAGTTATCAATAATTTGCTCTTTAACCAAGGTACAATAAAAATAATTTATGTTACCTTCATTAGTATGGTTCAATTTTCAACTGGAAATTTAATTTAATAAAATATTAAATAGGTACCTTTTTAAATAAAATGTAATTTACTATTTAGGTTGTCAGTTTATTATGGTAAAATATTGCATGTCTATTAACTATTTTTAATTCCAATATCCATTCGTATTTTTTAATTCGTGATTTGTGGTTCATTATATTGTCTATTTTTTATATTTAGTTAAGTTTAAAAATATTTTATTATGATATTATTTAAATTATATTTATAATATTAATGTAGTTATTAAATTATCGCGATTAAAATAATATTTTGTTATTATTATGTTATTAATCCAACATGTTATGAAGCAGGTATTCATCAAATATTTATTATTTACTAAATGTATTAATATGTGAAAGGTAAAAATTATAAAAAAAAAAAATCCTTAAATAATGTTTATAATAGAAGTATAATTTTATTACTTTTTTAATTGATACGGGATAAATAAGAATTATTTAACAGTTCATATTGGGTATTGTCTTGCGATACAGAGAATAGTTTGGTGTTTACTATTTTTTTTTCAAATTTATATTTAACATAGTTTAGTATAATAAATATATTTGAATCAAGTATTTTATTATAATTCCATTTATTATTGCTATAGTAATTACCTATCATAGTATTAAAAAAGTTATTAAAAAATATTGAAGTTAGCGTTAAAATATTTAACTATGTGTAATTTATTTAGCAGTATGGTTAATTATTTATTTTAATAATTATTAATCATATTTAAAAATAATGAATAAAATTTAAGTGATTACTAAAATATTGAATCATTTTAAAGGGATTAAGAGCTTGTGTAATAGATAAAAATATTTAATTTTTAATCTTTCTTTTTTTTATGATAACATGTTAGTTAACTCCATTATTTTCACAAAGTGCATAATATATGCTAAATTAATTGAACTTTAAACTGTTTATAAAAATTAAAGGTCTACAATTTGGTAGACTTCAAGTACAATTGGGAACAAAAATATTTTATGGTCTTTGATTATATGTATCGTCCATAATCATTTATATACCCATTATTGACGATTACATTATATCTATTTAAAAGTTGATTACTCCACCATTAGTTTCTGGAATGGATAATAATTATATTTCTTACATTTTATGTTATATTCTTAATTATTTACATCTAATATCTATACAATGTAGGAAATAATGATATTGAAAAAAGTGACGCTGTAGCATAATAGCCATTGAATATATTATTAAATATTTTAAAAGTAAATTAGATACATGGAAACATTTAATACATTTATAATAATATAATTTTTTGGTGAAAAAAGCCATAGTTATATTCTTTTTTACTAATTTTATATTTTCATTGTTTTGTGAGATTTTTCTATGTATAAAACCGAATCCTAGATAATTAAAAATCTTATTCATGATATATTCAATTAAAATCATCTAAAATATAATAAAATAATTGTTTTAATACAATTTAATATTATACTACTATTATATTCCTGTGGAAAGTAAACATTTTAAATTTTTTAATTTGTACTTTAATCGTAAATATTGTGATTTCAAATATGATTAGAATTATTTCATTAAAATTTACATAGTTGATTCTTATGCCAAATAACTATTTAAAACTCTTATTTCAGCATATTAATATTTATGTTATTTGTGAATTTAATTTGACACTTTTTGGCTTAATACTATTGTTATTAGCTACACATTTCTATATTAAATAAAATTATAAATGTTTGTTTCAAGTACAATGTAAAAATTGTTGCAATATACAACTTGTACTAATTAATAAACAATAAAATAAAATTTGCATTGTGTAGCTTTTATTATCATAAAAGTTTAAAATCTAAAAATTTTAATATATATATATTGTAATAATGAATGAGATTGAAAATATTATTTCTATCACACCTAATATTATGTTGTTATCAGTGCTCAGAGGACAGAGTTAAGCTATTGCAATATTTAGATATTAATTATGTATTTTATAAAATATTTATTTAGTGGTAATAAATATTGTTTTCAGTTATTTTAATTCTTGTTGTGATTTTACAAGCATGATAGAAATATTGATATTCTTATACAAGTGTGTTTATGTTTTTTTAAGAAATGCATGAAAATATTTTTTCAAATACCTTCAAGTAGGTTGATGAAAATGTACTATTAATTTTGTAAAAAGTGCATTGATTCATTTTGTTTAGTAATTAAGTATAAAATACAATATTCACTTCTTTTTCAATATGTATTCCAATTTGCAAAATTATTACCTATCTACAATCATCGAAAATGTAATGAAATTTATTATTAATGTAATTTATTGTTTTAAATTTTGTATTTCTTAATACACATTAATATATTTTTAATCCTTACAATTATTAGATTATCAAATTAATCTTAACATATAAAAAAAAGGTTCATTAAATTCAAATAAATTGTTTCGTAAAAATATCAATTTTATCGATCTGTTAATAATGTTTTAGTATAATTTTTTATAATGTAAAAAAAAAACTATTATTCAATATCTATATGAATACAAATTTTATTTGTGATAAAAATGTTTTACTAATAAATATAAAAATACTTAGGTGCTATCAAAAGTTTGTAACTGCGTGTCGACTTTGATAATAACATTTATTAAAAATTTGAAATATATTTAATAAAATGTATTATTTTACACCAAAATTAAATGTCAACTATTTAACTATTTTAGACTTATAAGATAAAGATACTGAAAAATTATGTTGAACTCTACAAATAATAACATCGATTCTGTAAAACGGCAAGAAATAGTGTTGGATGAAATTCAATCTGACGTTGAAAAGTGAGTGAGTTTTATAGTATGATTTTAATTTTAGTAATTTAATCATTGCTTTGTTTGAATTTTAGTTATTCGGATAATGAATTACCTCTTTCGTCAATAGTACCAACTATTAATACTAAAGCATATCAAGATATTATATTGGATAATATCCAATCTAATATGAAAAAGTAAGCATAAAATCAAAAATATTATTTAAAACTTTTTAAGATTAATAACTAATTTGCTTACATTTTAGTGCCTTAGAAAATGAGTTACCTCTTTCATCAATATCTACTTTTAATGATAATTGTAGGATTCCAAACCATCAAGTAATCAATTTGGATGAAATTCAATCGGACAATGAAAAGTAAGTTCAATATAATATCTAAATATTAGTTATTTAATAATTGTTTTTATTTACATTTTAGTTGCTCAGATAATGAATTACCTCTTTCATCAATAGCAAATGTATTGTTTCCAATTGGTAGCTGTAAAGTTGATAAATCTGAGTCAATTGATTGCCGATCCAAGGTAAACAATAATCATAATACATCTGCCTTACATCAAATATCCACTAAAGTACAAAGTAAAATAGATTCACCAATAAGGAAGTATGGGTGCGATATTTGTGGGAAAATATTTCTTAAGCGTATTGCGATTATTGAACATTTTAGAACTAGTTTATGCTTTCCAGACAGTCCTTTTGATTTTGAACTCAACAGCCCTAATCATAATTTGTGCAACAATTCTGAAGATACGATGTCAATTATTAACAATATCAGTGATTTAGAAACTAATAATATGAAGGCTATGACCTACAAATGTAGAATTTGTCAGAATTTAATTAAAAATAACAATTTAACAAAAAGGCGACTACTATCAAATACTAAAGAAAATAACTTATGTAATATATGTTCAGTTTTGGATAATATTGCATGTGGAAATAATCAACATGTTATAGAAAAATATACATGGAAATGTAAATCTTGTGGGCAGACATTTACTAAATTAACTGTTTTAAAAGCTCACAGATGTAATTTTTCAAAGAATAAATTATTTAACTGTTATAAATGTCATAAGTCTTATAGAAACTTAAGTGCTTTGGAAAAACATAAATTTATTCATAAATTTTACTGCAATATATGTCATAAACAATTCTTTAAACAATCAACTTTAGCAAATCATCAAAGAATACACTGTTTAAAAAGTATCGATCAACATAATTTTAATCTAAAGTACTTAAATTCTAGTGTATTAAATCATACTAAAAAAGCCCATAACTCGTCTAAAAATTATGAGTGCTCAAGATGTTCAGCAGTATTTTATAAACGTTCAGAAATAATTTCTCATATTTTTGAAAATCATCAAGAAGATTATTCCAAGTATAGTTGTGATGAATGTACAAATGTATGTGATTCTTCAGGAGACTATATTTTACATTTAGCAAAAAACTGTTGCAAATGTGATGTTTGTCCTCAATCATTCACAACGTCTCATAGACTACAGCAGCATTATAGATGGCACCTTGGTATTAATAATTTTAAATGCCAATTCTGTCCTAAAACATTTTCAAAATGTTCTTTATACTTATCTCATGAAAAAACGCACACAAGAGAAAAACCATTCATATGTAATTTTTGCGGCAAATGGTTTCCAGAGACGTCAAATTTTAATATACATTTAAAACCATATAAGCTTTTTGCATGTAATATATGCCTAAAATCTTATACTCAGATGTCATCTTTATTATCCCATAAAAGAATACATGCTAAAGAAAAATTTCTAAAAAATAAAAACTGTAATCAATTGTTAACTTTAAAAGTACGTACAAGGCAACAATATACTAGAAGAAAGCGTTTTAATTGTAAAGTATGTGCTAAATCATTTCTTCATTCTTGGTCATTAAGTGCTCATCTAAAAACACATAAAAACAATAAGAATGTTAAAAAATCATTCTTAAATAAACACAAAAGATTACAGAAAAATTCCATATGTATTAAATGTAATTCATGCCAAGAATTATTTGACAACCAGAATATTTTAACCACTCATATATGTAAGTCGTCTACATGCAAATATTGTCTTGAAGTCTTTAAAAATGTTTCTTCACTTAAAAGACACTATAAGTATGTACATCAAAAAAACAATGAATTCTTTGACTGTGATATTTGTAAAATATCATTTATGTGTTCATCTAGTCTTAATGAACATAAAAAAAAGCATACTCAATGTGAAAAAAATAAGTCTCTTACATTTAATGTCAATAACAAAATAAATACAGAAAAAGAAGAAATGTATTTAGATGAAGAATTTAAATGTGATCTTTGTATGAAAAGTTTTTCCAGTCAATCACAAATTGTTCCTCACATCCTAGAAACTCATTATTAGGTTTACATTAAACATGCATATGCATATTTATAATTTTTTTTTTTTTAAATCTTGATTATGTAATCAACTGTCATATTTATTTGTAATACTATTAGTAAATTTTAATTTTTGAATACATCATATGTCCTTTTTATAATTAAAAAAGTCAATAAAATAGAAGTAAGATGATATATATTTTTTTTTATATATTATTTATTATTACATTACAACATACTTTATAAAATAATCAGATTTATTTTCATCAATTAAATCTATGTTGATCATAAGTCAATTTTACTTCTGATATAATAATGAAAAAAATCTATTTAGAAGTTTAAGCTAAGTCACACAATTATAAATTTTTCTAAAACCATTAGATTTTATATGACATGTATCCAACAATAAATACTATTTCCTCAATAACTTTGTTTTTGTAGCAGATAAATTGAAAAAAAATTAAAATTATTTAATGTATTAAAAAGTTGTTGTATTTAAAGTAAAATAAAAAGTATACGTTATGATTTTTTTAAATTTATAACCCAACTTTTTTAAGAATTTAATAGCTACATTAGAACAAAAATCATGTAATTTCTATTTTTATAAATATGTTGTCATAGATTTTAATACTTAAATAAACTATTATTTCTACTAAAAATAAATATCAGAATATGCATCCTATGAATTTATTAATATATGCAAAATTAAAAAATTAACTACATCCAGGTAGAGTATAATTTCTTAACTGAGTGAAGTAGGAACAATAATGAATGAGCTTTATTAAACACTTATCTAATTATAATTCCTATGCATGACTATACCCTTAATAAATGGTAGCTTACTGTTTAGTAGATATTGTTAAGTACCAAATTATATATAAAATAGTAATAGATTTTATATTGAATAAGCAATTAGTCCAAACATATTTTTTTTTTTAATTGTTAAAAACAATAAAACACAATTAATTACTATTAAATAGTAAATATTTAAAAATAAATTTTAATTTTTCTCTGAGCTATTAGAATTCTATCTTAACTTGTTGCTAGTACTTATTCCAGTTGTACCTATATAAAATAAACAGCATTTAAGGAGTATTTTATTGACAACTAAATTTTAACTTAGAAAAATGATTTTAACATCACACATATCACAGCCAACAATAATAAACAATAATAAACAATGATTGTACTAGATTTATTTTTATTACAAGACATAAGCCATACCATCTTGATCATGGTAGACAAAATACAATTCAAATTGTCCTAAATGAAAAGAATAGAAAAAAACATATATAACTTAATTGTCTTTCAATAAATAAAGCAGTTAACATTCGTTTTTGCAATTATTGTTAAGAGAATGTAGAGCTTACTAATCCATAAATAAAGTTTAACAAAAACAATAAATTAGTAATTCATATTAAGTATTAATTTTATAAATCCCAATATTAATTAATAGGTACTTAATATAATAATAATGGTTACTTAACATAAAAAAAATGATAAGTATCAGTAACGCTAAAATTTAAAATTAAGTTTAAGATAATATGTAATTCATCGTAAAACAGGGACTAAAAATACAATTCAATACACATTCATTCCTTCAAATTTTAACTAAGCAACGCTTATTTAAATGATGATCGCAATCATTATAAACAATTCACAATTAATCTGGATTTGATTGAAAATAACATATTTCACTCAAACAATCATTAATATGTTGGCATATCTCATTCTTATTCAAAAAACATTTTATCGTGGTAATAGCAAAGATAATACAGTTTTTACATTGGCATTAATAATAGTATGAATTTTCATAAAATTAAAAATAAATTTTAACAACCAATTAACTGTTTTAAAATAAACAATATGTTGATAAAAATAGTTTATTAAAAAAAATTACCACTTAACTAACATCAATAAATTTAAGTCGTTCAAAAGTAAAGTGTGCACCTTTATGTAATCCAAGCACCTAAATATGTCTACTTTAAGACAGACTATTTCATAAAAACTTATGAACTGTTAGGTCACCAAATATTTAGGTCAAATTTATAAATAAAAATAATTTTATAAATCATGAATAACAACGATACATTTAAATATCCATTTATCAGGAACCAACTAATTAAAAAAAAATACGATTTCATCTATAAATAATAATATTTATTATAATTATTTGTAAATTTATTGTTACAAAGTTGAAGTCATACAAAAAAAAAAAAGTCAAAAATGTAGAGATTTAAGTTACAAACTATAAAACTTACTTTTTCTTACCAAACTTTTTATTTTTTTGTACTTTGCCACCTTTAAATTTTGAACCATTTTTACCTTTATTTGGTTGACTTTTACCATTTTTGAAAGCACCTTTACCTTTAGGTTTAGGTTTTTCTTCTTCGCTTTCTTCATCATCATCATCATCATCATCATCATCATCATCATCATCATCGTCATCTTCACCAATTTCAAGATTTTCAGTTTCATCATCTTCCTCGTCATCATCATCATCTTCATCATCATCCATATCTTCATCATTAGAAACTTCTTCTTTTTTAGATTTAACTTTAGTATCTTTATTTAAACTAACTGCATTACCACCAATAGCTTTGAATTCATTAATTAATTTTTCATAAACTCCATCCAATACTTCGTCACTAGTATCTTTAAATTTGGAAAATCCTTTTGTAATCATATTCTGAAAATTTTTTTAAAAATATTATTAGAAAAACATTTTATGTTAATATAAATTAAATAAGGTCTTACTTTCAGTTTGGTTTTCTTTTGAGGAATAGAAGATTTATTTTTATAATCTCCTAACAGCTTAGTAATACTACTCTCTTCATCAGAAAGATTTGTCATATTTGAAACATTTTGAATAGCTTTACTCCATAACTCTTGTAATGCTAATTTTTCAGGATTAGGAGGTGTTTCTACTTTTATCTTTTCTCCTTCTTTTTTCAATACAGCTGGCTTGACAATATCTTTTGATTTTTCTTTTCTAACTTGTACACCACCTTTAGCTTGTTTCTTCGGAGACTTATTTCTAAATAAAAGTCAATATATTAATTAATAATATTAAAATCAAAGAATTTCAGAAATAGTGGATTCTGAATAAATAGAAAATATAATCTGCTTCTTATATTCAGTTTAATGTTTGATTTTATTATTACTATGAAGGTATATTCAACAAGGTATTTCATTTTCAACTTTGTGAATGAATCATGTTATTTTAAATTATCTTTTTGATATTATGCGTGGCACTATGTATTAATGAACAGTGTGCATGTTTATTTTGAATGTCAAGGTATAGTATAAATATAGTGATAGATAAGATTCAAACAAGGTATATGTATGATTTTTAGAACAATATATAATTTATATGATGCTTTAACATTCATTATGAAATAAGTTATAAGACATGAAAAATTTGTATGTGTATATTATCAATGGATATTCTTAATTTTTCATAACTTCTCTACTAGTATTTCATTTTTTTTACAGCCCCCATACTCCTTATTTCCTGCTAATCTATCTGGTTATTATTTTAATATAAGGTTAATGTACCTTATATTAACAGACAATAAACATTTATCTTATAAAATATAATTAAAGCAAATTTTTGAAAAAAAAATAAAATAAATTTAATTAATAGTTGAATAGTAAAATGCAAATAATTTATTGAAAGGTATATTATATACCTAATCAATAAATATATAACTATATAATATATGTACAGGTAGGTAACGAATAACAAAAATAACTGTATTTACTAGATACCTCATTCAGTAATGTTAAAATATTTATCAATAATTGAGTAGGTAATAAAAATGCTGTTGATTTAAAAGTATATATTTCCTTATTAATGTACATAAGGTATTTAGAATATTACAGTATTTAATTATGAATAGTGTGTTAAATTTTTTTGGTTAAATGGAGGTTATAATATAAAATTAATGTTTAACAAATTATGTTATGATGACTATATGTACATGATAAAGTATATTAATAAATCAAAAATAACAGAAACAATCATATAACGCTCGCACGAGGACTATTTCCTAAGGTGTTAGTTTCAAATTTTTTTCATTTGATTTCATTTAATATAATCAGTGGCGAAAATAACCTAAAATAACCCATAAGTGAACTAAAATTTGCATACCCACTCATTCACTTACCAACTAGGTACACCTATCTTATACTTAAAATATTTTTTTTCAATTAACATTTTTACCAATAAAATTATGTAGGTAAATTTATGTACTGTATATATTATTGTATATTATCATTATTATTATTGTTGTTGTTGGAAAAACTAAATAAAATAAAATATAACGAAATAATCACATTCTATAAGGGAGTTTCTTTATTTGTTTAGTAGTATATTTATTAACATATTTTAACAGTAATCTAGATAGTAACACAGTAATATTATATCAAATAAAAACAAATTTAAAAATATGAAATTATTTAAATATCAACTGTTTTTTTAAAACACCTGAAGTCATGGCAAACTTATCTATGGCAAAATACATGAATTTATTCATTGGTTTTATTACTTCTGTCTGCTGTTACTGCTAATTGTCATTACTCATAATATATTTATATAGATAAATTGTAATAAATACAAGTATTAGTAGTACTGATATTTAGTTGTTGTTTATCACTTTTATATTGGCACCCGCCCACCCAAAAATTTAAAAAATAATCAAGAAGCAATCGCTTCTCAAGCACCACGTTTGTTTTTCCAATGTCTATAATTATTTAATTTTAGTAGTTTTATTTTTTGGCATTTGCTTTTAAACAGAGCCATTTAATTTATACAAAATAACTATAAAAATTTAACTTGACACTAATTTTTACAAATTTTTTTTTTTTTTTTTTGATATCTATATAAACATTCAATCAATAATCAGTACTGTCATAAAATACATTAATGTTTTTATTTAGTCTATAATTACTTGTTTGTATTCACGGGCTTCTTAGCAGAATTATTAGTCTTAAGTTTCATCTAAAACAATAAAATATACAATAATTAAAAGCCTTATAAATAATTTTTTAAATCAGATTTGATTGTGTGTAACTTTAATTAGTAATATAATATAATAAATAATATAAATTATGCAAATTACACAAAATATAAAATGACCATAATATAGTATTAATCCAAAATTGATGTGGTTAGAACCCTTCTTAATCATCTAAAGTCATATTAAAGAAAATAGCCTTTAAAATGTTAGTAAAGAAGTAATACTCTTTAAAATGAAAAATAAAAATGTTCATAATATATTACAAATTGATTTTTACGAGTTACAAAAATGAAAAATAAAGAAGCATAGGTATACAATCGAAATTACAATAGGTTTGAAAATTATTAATGATTTTTTCTAGGTAATTCACATCAATCCAGATCCGGTTCGGATAAATGACACTAGATACTATAATTAATTTTAAATGATTGTTTGAAGATACACTTAGTTCTAAAATTTAGTAATAGAAGTCATAAAATGTACGATATTTTATTAATATGTAACATCATGGTGATTAATATGAATTTATAATTATAAACTATACATAAATATTCTTACCTTTAATAGTAGTTTATAAAATGAAAAGATTAAAAAATATTAGTTAATAAATAAATATAATAATTAATATTGAATACTCTGAGCGATGAGTAAACCGTAAAATGGATATAAATGTGACTGAAATCAAATTATGAATAACCACACTAGGACCACATTGATATTTCAAATGAAGTGTAAACACATTTACTTTGAAGTTTGAACACGATAAAGTATTGATTATTTTAGGTTATAATTACAGGTTACAAACTCGTCCTGGATCAAAATTTAATAAATACATATGAATGGAAGAAAAACATTAAGCACACATGATATTGCTCAAGTGCGTAATCAGAAAATAATTCAAAGGGGTTTATAAAAAGTAGAGCAAAAATTACATACATATTAAAAATTATTTAAGTAGATTATATGATTATATGAAAGTAAATAAAAATATTGTTTTAATATTTCATTGGGTAGGTTGTTGAACTTCAAAAAACAACTCTGTATAATACGCACTGATCTAAGCCACGATTAAGTATAATATCTTAGGCTACGTATTTATTATTAGATGTATCTTTTATAGCTTTTATTAATATTTAATATACTTTTTTTATTAATAAAAATATATTTATAACCTATGCTACAATGCATAATAAGTAAATTATAAGAATAAGCAACAAGGATTACATAAGGAGGAAGGACATCTTGTGATAGAATTTTTAATTGACTTCTTGGATAGTTTTACTAACCCAAAGTAGCCGAAGTGTAAAATATACCTACCTAATAATTTTAGGTATACTTCCTTAATATTAGAACATTTGCTAGTTACTACATAAATATAACAAGTACGCAGCAGGTAGGATGATTTTTAAATATTAAATAGCTAGTGTGCTATAGATGGTGTAATATTATCTATTTATACATAGGTAAAAGGTATTAAAAAAACAGCTTTTTAAATATTCATATCTATCATATAAAAAAAAAAACACAATGAAATATTAAGTAGGAATAGGTCGCTTATAGACAATACATTTGTTTGTGTTTATTTCACAAAAATAACATACATAATAATATTGTCATAACTCCCGTATATAATTGGTAAAAATAAAAACAATTTTGATAATAGTGAACTTTACAAGCTGAATATTATCAATGAGTTTATCTTTAAAGAATATAGGCACATTTAGCGTATAAAAACGTATTGCAATGTGTAACCAAATTAATAGATTGAATATTTAATTTTTTATGTTAAATTTAAAATATAAAAAGTATTAATGATAATGAATAACTTTTTACACATTAGTAGATAGTATAATACCGGTTGTGAGCCACCCCTATATTTTAGGTTTTCAAATTATGTGTTAAATTTGTTTTATTTAAGGGTATTTTTAACTTATTTTAGGGTATTTTTTATGTATACTTTTTGGTATAATTTTTGTATATTTTCAAGTCTTTTTTGACACTTTTTACACTTGTCTTTGATTAAAATTTTATAAAATTTTTTATGTCCCTTAAAAAGTATAAAAAGGTATAGAGTTTTATACAAAAACTATGGATTTTTATATGCTTAATTTTCTGGGCCAGGTCTATATTTTTTGATAAAAAATATTTTTATAGTTTTTACTCTATATTTAAAAAGTATACAAGTATACTTTTATATTTAAAAATGTATATAAATTTTAATAAAAATGTATTTTTTATTTCAAAAAAAAATCTTATTTTTAAATATACTTACATCCTAACGAATCTTACATAATTTTTCAATGATAAAGTTTTATGTTCATTTATTTCTAGATATTCCTCTATATCAATTATATCTGCAATATCTACAATAAATATATGAGTTGGTTTCTTATTAATAAAATGCAATGTACAATTACTTTTTAAATTTAAATAATATTTATTTTTAATTGTATCAAATAAACAAATATCCAATTCTTCAATGCTTCTATAAACATTATTATCTTTTAAATCATTTTCTAATTTTATAAAATAACTTATTTTAGGTTCATTTTTAAATAATGTAATATATCGAGGTAATTTATTATTATATACTTCAATAAATATTGTTTAGTATAATTTTTATATACATATCTTTTTAAAAATATTTTATAATTTTTATTCCCATCATCCATTTTACACTCAATTGTATATGCCTGAGGACTAATATTATTATAATATTTTTCAATAAAAATTGTTTTAGCTTTATTTTTGAATAATATTATCATGATTATCTTTTGATAATTTAACATAAACTGCTTTAATATTTTTTATATTTTCACCATTGTCAGTTTTTGCTGAAATTCTTGTTAATCTATTTTCATTTATTTTAGATTCTTTTACAGCTTTTTCACCATTTTTTTTTATTTCTAAAATATTAATTGTAGATAAAGGTTTTTTAAAATCTCTTTTAGTTATCAAATATTCTTTTGCAGGTTTAAATGAATCAATATTAATTGGTTCTTTTTTGATTTTCTTTTCTTTTCATATTTAATTTTTTATATAAAATTTCTATCATTTCATCTTTATTTAAATTAGATATTTTTAATTGTGAAATATCGTCAGACAAACTTGAAATAATAACATCTTTACATTCGCTTGTACCTAATACTGTAATATAACTTTTTATTAAATGTTTAGCAGCTTCTTTATTTTATTTGTTAATTCTTGCTGATTCTACATTTTCTAAAAAATTCTTTAAAATATCTGTATAATATTCAGCTATTTTTTTTTTGTATCATAATAACTATTAAAATCAATTAATTCTTGAATCATTTTTTCTTTATTAATTTTTATTTTATAGTTTTTTAATGCTTCATTTAAATATTTATAGAGATATTTACTAAATTTAAATCACGATCACTCATTTTGTATTTTATTTATTAGTAAAACTTTTTTTATAATTAATATAAAAGGTAATACTAAGTAGTACTAAGTAATACTAAGTAATTAAAAATTTATATATATAAATAAGATATAATAATTAAATTATTACTTTAAATTTAAAAAAAAAATAGTAATTAATATGTATATACTATAAAATATTAATAATCTAGAAAAATTTGTAATTTGTAAAAATAAACAATGTGAAGATTTTAGACATATTCCATTAAATGAAATTTAAAAAAGTAATTATAGATTTAAACCAACATGTGAATATAAAAAATGTATTTAACATAATTATAAAATATTATTTAGAGGATCATTAGATTTAGAATATTTAGATATAGATGAAAAATTTAAAGACGTCAGCTCTGCTAACACAAGTCAACTTTATTGTAATAAACCAGCTCTGTTAGCACAAGAACCTAAAAACAGAATACATTTTTTATATAATTTAAAAGAAAAATATAAAAATAAAAATAAATAAATATGATCTATATGATCTATTATTTTTTTTTTTTTTTTTTTTTTATTGAACTTAAAAACATCAACAACAAAGGTTATTAGTTTTTTGTGTTAAATTACACAGTAGTTGGTCAACAATTACAATGTTAATATGGTGTTAATTATATATGATTACTATTTAATTTATATTATAATTGTCTTTAACAGCATATAGGTTTATATGATCTATTTATTTTCGATTAGTTATTTTAAAATGCTCATGGAAATTGTGTATATTAATTTCTGATTTGTAATATCCCTATGGACTCCATGGTATTGTATCTGTTAAATTATGAGTTAAAATTCTTTTATCATCAAAATATGATAAACCAATTTTGTTTTGATTAATAGTATGTAATTTATGTTTTTCACTTATATAATATTATTATGTTCAATTATTAATATTTTTTTATTAAATAAACATGTTTTATAATTTTCATGTTTTAATTCATTATTTATTATATTTTTTTAACACATTTAGCTTTATTAATTTCGCTTTTATTATATATTGCTTGCGATTTACAAGAAGATCTTGCTAATATTTTAATAGAATAGGTACATTTTTGATGATAATCCTATAAATTCTTCTATTATTTTTCTATTCATTTCATCTTTAAATGTATTTAAAACTTTTTTTTTAACTTTTGGAAAATCTTTTAAATTATTATTAATTTTAATTTGATCTTTATTAAATTTAATATCTGAAGTACCATAATGATTTATATTATCTTTCATATCTTCAAATATATCATCAGTAAACACTTCAATAATTAAAGAATCTGTATCACAATATAATAATTTTATTTTATCACCATAAACTTTTTTTAATTTAAAAAAAAAAATCATAAATAATTGTTTTAGATAATTATAATATGCAAACTCCAATATATATTTGTTAATAAAAAAATATTTTAAGTTTTGTTAAATGAACAGCAGCTAAATTATCACCAAAAAATACTGATTTATTATAATTATTTTTAGAAACATATTTTATATATTTTTCTTCTTCAGATATTAATTCAACATTAATATGATTTCTAATATTCATCATTGTTTTACCAAAAACTGAATTATTCATTAATTTAAAGAAATCTTTTTCAAAATCAGTTTTTGATTTTTTCCTTAAATCTGTATTTTTATCTATATAAACTTTCATCTAATCTGATTGTGAAAACGATATAACTCTATTAATTTTTTTAAATTTTAATCTGGATTCTAATGATTGTTTTAAATTTGAATAATGTATAATATAATTATTTTTATCATATAAAATAGTAAATAATTTAGTAGTATTTTATTATTAATTATATTTTCAGGACAATAAGGTAAATCTTTATGATAATCATGTAATTATTTTGTAAATTAACATCAAATATATATCTAGTTTTGATTTTATCATTAAATTTTATAATTTCATTATGATTAAAATATTTTGAATTTACCCATTTAAAATTACCATGAGGTAAATATCTTGACATTCCTCCCACATATAAATTATTAGCCCAATATATTGAATAAAACTAAATTTATTAAATATTTCATATTTATTATTTGCTCTAGAAAATCTATTTGAACATTAAGATATACCTCCTCTTTTTCCATTTTTAAACATCATAAGCATATCATTATTTGTTAATAGTTCTAAATTAATATCTGTATTTTTTAACATAGCAAACCATGCTAATGATGGAGTTGTATAATACCAACAAGGATCTAATTTATATTCTTTTAACGATAATTTTCTAAAATTCTCAAATTTATCTGTTAATAATAAAACATCAATATTATTATATAATAATGTAAATTCTAACATATTTTCTATTTTAAATAAATTCCATATTTTTTTTTGTATTTTTATATTCCTTATTTGATATATTTTCTTTAGTTAATTTATTATAAAAATTAATTTTATCTGGTAATTTATGTTCATAATATTTATTAATATTATCCATATAATCATAAGGATAATAATTTTTTTTCTTCTAATTAATCTGAACATATTTTTTTTTAATTTCATTATTAATATTTTTAAATTTATCTTTGTTTTTTAAACAATTATTAAACCATTTTTTTAATTCTGAAAAATCATTATAATTTAAACTTTTTGAAATATTAGATAATGAATTGGGGAAAAATTTAAAAGAATCTAAAAATCTTAATTCAACTTTCGAAAGACAAGCAACTTTTTCTTGTGAAATATCATATTTAACAATTTTTGAAAATGATATATATTTTTCATCTGTTTTTGGAATAACTTTAATATCATTAAAATTACAACCAAATTCTTTAATTAGTAAATGAAAATCATATCCTGATAAATTATGAAAATAAATGGGAATAACATTTATTTTTTTATTTAATTCTTCTTTACAAATTAAATGACAAGTTCCTTTATATTCCCCTGTTATTCTATTTCTATAATAATTTTTTTCTATTTTATTACTTATATTAATAATTTTTTTATTAATTTCTTCAATTTTATCAATAAATTTTTTATTTAAAATTTTGTCTAAGACTTTATTTTGATCTAGGTAATAATTAATTTTTTTATTATTTTCTAATTCTTTTTCTAATATTATAGGATTTTCATTAATTTTTATATTACATATTTCACAAATATTAGATTTATTAAATTTGATTAATTCATCTTTATTTAATTGATAATAATTAAATTTTGATAAATAATTTTTATGAATATTAATACAAATTTCTTTTAATTTATTAAAAAATTGTTTTGTAATATCTTCAGCAAAAAATTCAAAATTATTTTTTCTTTATAATTAATTTTATTATTATGTTTAATATATAATACATTTATAATAGCTTCAAAATCAGCATAAATAGCAAATGGGATTTTATTTTGTGTATAATCTTTATTAAAATAAAGATTATTATTGTAAATATTAAGCATATTAATTTTAACAGGTTCATTATAATTACAATAAAGAATATGTTCTTTTAATTTTTATATTATAGTTTTTTTTATAAAACATTTTCTGCAATTATAAATTTTATGTTCATTTATATTATATTGATTAACAATTAATTTAGATAATTTTTTTATCCAACAGTAATGAGATTTATTTCTTTTTGTAAAAAATAAAATATTTATATGTTTATCAAATATTTCTTTTGGAATATATGATGGATAAATCTTTTTTTAAATTAAATTATATACTCCAATACTAATTTTATAATCAAAAATATTAGAATTATTAATTAATTAAATTATTTTTTTAAATTCATTATCATTATGTTTAACATGAAAATTAATTTCTTTATTCAAACATTTTTCTAAATTATTTGTTAAATTATGATAAATAGATGATCTATATGAATGTTTTTTAGCATTAATAACATAAGATGCAATTGTATATAAAAAACATCTTTAATCTTCATTTTTAACATTAATTATTGCTTTTTTTTATTTTTTATATAATCAGGTAATTCTATATATGAACTTCCTCTTATTAATTCTAATCTATTAATATTAATATTTAAACAATTAATTGATTTTAGAATCTATTCACTACCAGTATTTTTATCACTTAAATTTTCATGTCTATTTAAAGTTTGTTCTGTAAATTCATCATATAAATCATATTTATTTGATGAATTTAAAAAAATTAAATTTTTAGTTTGAAAATTATGATAAAATACATCATTTTTTTTATTAATATAAGTACAATTTAAATTTAAATTAACTTTAACATTATTATATTTTCTTCTATATTTTTCAATTTTTATTAATATTTAAATCATTATAAATAAGAAATTGAGAATATCTTGATTTAAATCTATATTTATACTTTTTTATTATCTGATGACTTGTCTTTGATTTTATTGTTAAACTCAAAATAATCATCTTTAAAATTAAAAATATTTAAAACATCATTGTTGATAAAATTAATATATTCTTCATTATTTAATATAAAATATATTTTATCATTTCTAAAAATTGAATAATTAATTTTACTTAAAAGTAAATTATATAAATAAATAAACTTTTTAGTATTAAGTAGTTATAAGTTAGCATTAATTATACTATTATTAATATCTTTAAACTTAATATGAATTATTTTATTTCTTAAATAATGTCTAATTTGAGCTTGTGTATTATTAACATAAATATAGTTGTTTTTAAATATAAACCATTTATCTTGTATAATTTGATATTAAAATAAAAATTATTTTTTTCTAATTTACAATAATCACATATATTATTATTCTCAAGATCTGCTTGTAAATTGCAAGCATTATTCTCAATACAACAATCTTTATTTTTTTAAACTCCATTTATAAAAAAATATTTTTATTATCATTTTTAAAACTTATAAAAAATCTAAAAAGTATACAAGTATACTTTTTAAAGATAGTGTAAAAATTATAAAAATATTTTTTATCAAAAAATATAGACCTGGCCCAGAAAATTAAACATATAAAAATCCATAGTTTTTGTATAAAAATCTAAACTTTTTAAGAGACATAAAAAATTACTGATTTTATAATATAAAATGAATTTTAATAACCAAGTAGGCACTTGGTTTATCTAGCTATAGGTACATTTATACTTTTTATACCTTAGGTTATATATACTATTATAGTAATTAATGATTTTTATAAATATATCTATTTAAGATTTATAAATTATAAAAGTGGATTACTAAAGGCTAAGAAGACTACCTACTTACCTAGGACCTACAAAATATTTTTATTAATCTATCTTTATAATATATTTTAAATAATTAAAAGTTTTGTAATAATCTAGAAAAATTAAAAATTAGAATGAACATATTTAAACTAAGCATGTTAATTAAGCAGATAAGAATAATACTGATCTGATATATTTATATCACTATACACCTGGCTGGCTTAACAAAGTAACTGTCTCAACATAACATGTGTTTTGTTCTTTTCTGTCATTAATATAAAATATATTGTTATACTATTTATTGTAATATATTGTTAATAGTTGAAATATAATAAATGTTGTTAAAATCTATTGAATAAAAAAAAAAATTATATACCTGTTAAATGTATTATTTAAAAGAATAAAACATGTTTATTTAATGTGCATATTATGTTTAAATAAGTAGGCAAATACCGCTTTTATGATTTTTTTTTTTTAATTGTTCATGTTTTGTTTAAAATATTGTAATGTATTAGGTACAACTTAATATATGAAAAATAATTTAAAAAATATGGCAAAATGTGTGTTATGTTATTATATATAGTACTAACAAATTATCAGTAAATTATTGGATAACATCTATAAAAAGCAAGTCATAAATGAACATTTTAAAAAACCATGAAAATGTATTCCAAAATTTTAATGGTTGTGCTTCTAGCACATTTTTTGGCAAGTTCTTGAATATATATTTTGTAATTTCTATTTTAATTCTCAAATTGTAATCAATGGATTATTTTAAAAAAAATAGTTAACTATATGCATTTTCTTTTAACTAACTTTTATTGTATTTATTATTATTGAAGTAAAAAATAAAATTAGTTGAATTCTTTCTAATAAATTTAATATTTCATATTTTATACTGTTATTTTTAATTAACTATAATAATTTATTTAGGATAATTTATCAGCGGCTATACTTAAACCAGATAAACTTACATCTTTGAATGAGAATAGTAGTTCAACTCAACCTAAAACCATTTTAATTCAAAATCAACCTAATAAAAGTCATGTAAGTGTATTTTTAAATATTATAAAATACTTAATTACCTACATGAATAATTTTAAACTTGCACAAATTGCCAATTGCCATTTTTTTTGTATAAAATTATAAGTTTAAAAAATTCAAATGTTGTTAGTATAATATAATTAAACTTTGTTTTTAAATAAACATTCGTTTTTCTAGCATACTGATTTGGGAAATTCCAAAGTTAATCCTGTTGTTCCTTTAAATACTTCTGCTTCACCTGCACTTCCATTACCTTCAGTAACTTCATCACCTCCAGCACCTACAGTCTTACAAAATACAAAAAAAGTAAGTTTTAAATAAAACAATATTATTTTAAGCTCCAACTATGTATTAACAAATATAGATAAAAAATATTTTGATAGAATAATTTTTTTTTTTAATGGAATGTTCAGAGATAGTTTAAAAATCAATACGGTCTTAGATCAAACAATTCTTTCTATTCCTCACTAAAAAAAAATTAAAAATAGATACCTATAATACCTATAGTAATATATTTTAAATACATTAATATATATCTAAAATTATACCTATTACGAATAGTTTTTCAAACACTTTTAAACAAAAATGTAAATATAACATAATACTCAAGTTAACTTTAATAAGACATTCTATAATAATAATAATAATAATAATAAGTGAACAATATTATAATTTATAATTGAAGTAGTTTATAATGTTATGATTATTTAAAATTAAAATATTAAATTATTCTGTATTTAAGTATATTTTTTCCTGGATTTTATTGTAACAAACTGATGTATTAGTTATTTTTCAAATCTTTAATTAAATTAATTTCATATATTAATTATTCTATGCATAATAACAAACAATTTAGAAATTGTCATGATATAATAATTTTAAATAATTGTTTAAATGATTTAAATATAAATTGACCTTTTAAATTTGCATCTAAAGAAGATAGAATATATATATTTTAAATATTTTTTCTAGTGATATTATTCTTAAAAATTAGTGAAACTAAATAGTAAATCTGTGGCATTAATAATAGTTCTAATATATTTCAGACAAGTTCACCTGTAATAGGTTCTTCAACTTCTAAACTTACAGTACCACAATTTGAGAAACAAGTAAGTCACAGGACAGAACAATTTTATTATAACAGAATGTTAAAGTTATTACAAAATTTATCTTAGAAGGAAAATGACGATCAACAAGAATTTGAATTAGTTGAAGAAGAAGATGATTATGAAGAAGGAGATGATTATGAAGAAGGAGATGACTATGAAGAAAATGATTATGAAGGAGATGATTATGAAGAAGGAGATAATTATGAAGCTTATGATAAAGCACAAGTAGAAAAAAAAGATGGTTTCAACAGTAAAGATTATTTAGAAAATCCAAATCATACAATTTCTACAGTACTACAATCATCTAAGAATGAATTAACAGAAAACAATTACAATTATCCTGAATACCAATCAAATACCAATGAAAACAATCAAATATATCAAAATGATGAGTGGGAATCAGAGTCTTTTAATATCAACAAAAAACCCATTAATATTCATGAAACTCTAGACAGAAATAATGATAATACCAAAGATCAATCAATCAACACTGATGATTTAGAATCAAAATCAAGCTATGATACACAGATAATTACTGATAATCAGGAAGAAAGTGTAGAAGACCAATTTAACAATCAAAATCTGTCAGAAGATAAAGAAAAAATTGTCAATGGGTATAAAGCTATCAAGCAAATATTATACATGTTACACGACTATGCAAGTTTAACATTTAATTGGATCATTAGCAAAATAAATTACCGAATAGAAGAAGTCTCAGTTAGATAAACAGTTATTATGTTATTAAATTAATATTATAATATTTGGTTAAAAAGTGAATAAGTAACAATGACAACAAATGAAAAATAATCAGCATTAATTAATTTAGAATTTATAAATTAATAAAAAATGTATTATAATTCATGTAAAAGTTTTATAATAACTAATAACTAATAAATACAATCTTACTAATACAAAATATGTATATTATTATTATTATTATTTATTTTTTTTTTTTGTAACAAAATATAAAAAGTATATGTTTAACAAGCATTGTTAAATTTATGTTATTATAATATTCACTCTGAAAATTGTTTCAATATCCTATCTGCTTCACGCCAACCAGATTCGATTGCTCCATGTACAGTTGAAAAGTAAGAACTATGTGTTGCTTCACCACCAAACAGTAAAATCTAAAAAAAATGAATGAATAATATATTTTTTTAAACATATACATATATTTAAAATACTTCATAGATCACATACATTTTTACCATTGGAATTAATTAGAGGTTTAGCTAGTTGACTATTGGCTTTTCCTTCTTTATCAGTATTCATAGAATGGAAAGAATACGAACCATAAAAGTGACTATTGGAACCCCATTGAGATCTTAAGTAAATAATTTTCAGTATAAATTAATAAATTCAATAATATTATAATAACATAGAAAAAAAATATTAGTTAAAAATAGTTACAGTTGTAATATCATTAGTAATCAACATAATATATTTTTACCTAGTCACTAAATCAGGAAATGGTATAGTATATTTGTCTCCCAAAAATTTATTTAATAAATACATCAATCCAATTTTTATCTCATCTAAGGATTTGCGTTCCATGTTTCTTGCAGCAGGACCAACTATCCACCCAAGCAGTGTATTTGGACAGTTATCACAAATATAAAAACCAAATACATCACACAGATAATCCCAGCCACGTCTCTGAATTAAAAATATATTAATAAAATAATTAATAATTGTATGCAATTTATAGAGTAGTATAATTTAAAAACAATACATTAATTTGAAAAGTATTATAAGAACAAACAAGTAATTATGTTTTTTATACATGTTGCAACTCGCAAATTAAATTAAACTTAATACTAAGAACTTAAATATGTATGTTTCATAACACAAATTACTTATAAAATATCATCAAGAAAAGAATTTAACTTCGATAGAATATGTTATATAATTTTAAGCTAAGTGGTTGACTAAAGAATATGAGACCTAATAGTATCTGTCATATTAACCCAATATACTAATAAGTATGTTTGTTACATTTTTTGGCATATCTATTTGTAAATATGAAAATTATATTCCCATTCAAAAAATATCTACAGGTGTATTGGCAAAGTTGTAGGACTTCTAGTTTAGGACAAAAACTAAAGAGGAATGGAAACACAATATATATTACAAAAGAGTTTATACTTTGCAGTACAGCATTTTTGGATATATCATAACCGTCAAGTCCTGTGTATCTGTATGCCACACAGCTTATACAATTGCATTTATAACTTTCTATTTAATAAATAATTATTTTAATTCGATTGATGGAAACATTCTTAAGTTATTTAAAATACTTTACCATACAAATAATGTTTCAATCACAGAGTTTCACACTATATGCATTACATGCATATTATTAATTTTTATGTGATTTTTATAAGACTGAAGCACCATGCTACTAATTAAAAATTGTTATAAGAGTAAAAAATTATTTTTCAAGTATATCAATTATAAACATTTTTACTTAGAAAATCATTAATGAACTAATATTCAGATTTATAAAATAGAAATAACAAACAATAAGTTATTATAGTTGTAATAGGTACATCAGGCATATTTTTATAGATATTTAAAAGGCTTCGGCCACAATTTTTCTCTAGGGCTTCAATTTTTTACTTAGGCTGGGGTTCCTGCAGTCTGTTAGCCCTAGTGATTAACACCTCCCCACGATAGTTGCATCCCTATCGATCATAAGATTAATTGTATCGTAAATTTGACGTAATACTAAAAATAAAATAAATTACTTTAATAGGTATATTAAACAACATATCATAAAATATACTTAGTGATAAAGGCTAATACTTTGACAGACCATCTATTCAGAATTATTTTTTATAAACATTGATATATTATTGAATTCAAATTTAACACACTTATAACAATGACTCACTCAACATTTATTATACAGCAAAGTAGTATTCACTTGCCTATCTGCCTATCTTTTTAATAATAATAATAAAAATTTAAATTAAAGTAAAATAAATTGCTTTGTATTTGAACTTCAAATTAACATTTTAATTAATTAGCCCGATAATTACATACTTTATTTTCTTTAATAAATTTTTCACGATCATCATCGGACCACAAAAAACTAAATCCTGTGTTATTCTCTGACCACCATGAATATGGAAATTTTAAAAATAATTTATCCACAGTTCCAATACCTAAGTTCTAAAAACAGTAATAAAAATAATTATTTTACACAAAAAGAAATCAAAAAAGGGTTTCCATTACTTGTATGGCTTTTAATTTATATTCAGGAAGATCAGGTTCAAATAATTCATTACATAAATTTTTTAAAACACCAAGGCCCATTGTTGTTAAAATACATTGTGCTTGAAAACGGCTATTATCAGCACATAATACTTCTGCTTGATCACCAGACCAATAGATTTTTACAACTTCTTTTCCAAATATAACTTTATCTTTAATATGTAGATGCTCAACTTCATCATTAAACTTTTCCTAAAATATAAGAAAGAAACCATTAATAACACAGTTTAGGCAACTAAATAAATTACATTTTTAAACCTCATAAAACTGTTGCATGACATAAAACTTTCTCTTAAAAATATAATAAAATGTATGAAAGTAGTAAATATTATTTAATTATTTAAAATATAGAGATAACATTTTAAACTATTTAAATTTCCATTTTTTCCAAAAAAATCTATAAAAAGCTCATACTAACGTAAAATTTAATTGTTGCTCTGTTCAGAATCTAAAAAAATATTTTTCAACAAATTAGAGAAAATTAAAATGTACATGCCTGCAATAAATCTATTACAGTTGAATATCCCTTTGACTTCCAACTAATTGCAGGATAACCAGGACAAGATTTATATGTATCTATATTAATTGCAGAAGCTTCAAACCAACTATCACTTCCATTATAAGAATTTTGATAATGTTGACACCAATTAATAAATGGTTTCAGCGGTAATTCTTCAGTGTCAACTAACACATTTTCAATTCTATAAAAAGATATAAAACATATCTATTTTAATAACAAAAGAATATTTATAAAAAAATTATTATTACCTTCTTTGAAAAAGCTCTCCTAACGACATGAATCGTTCTAAATCATCCTTTGGGCTATCATCCAATACCGAATAAGCTACATTTATGTATTCACGAAGATGGTTAGATTTAATTTCTCTACCTGATGATGTTACAAATGTAGAATTAGTAAATTGCTGAATCGTTTCTCTTTTATCAGATACTAAATTTTGATTAGAAGCCATTTGAAATACTACATTTCCTTCTTCTCCATGAATCCATTGTGCTCCTAATTCAATGTGCCCATCTAAAAAAGTACAAAAAAATAAATATTTAATGATAATATTGAATTAAAAAGTAATTATTTAGTTTAAAAATAACTGATGTAATGTTTAACCAAAATATTTATTTTATAACTTGTATGCTGTTCTTATTGTACTATATAAAAACAACTGCACTCGGAGATGTAATCAGAAATCATTAAATTTATAAATTATAATTTCGATTAAACTGAAAAAAATGGTTTTATTAAGTAGGATATTTTTATTTACTAAAATTGATTTAATTATTTTTATTTACAAATTTTTTTTTCAACAATTAAACTATAAGACAAAGATTGTCAAACAGGGAAGATAATATGAATGGAGATTTTGGGAAAATAAGTTGTACAATAAATCAAACATTTAAAATAATATTTTAAGAAAATTGAGTAAGGCAGTTAAATAATTGTATATTGTTTTAAATATCAATGGAAATCAAAATAAACCAGCTTAAAAAAAAAACAACAGAGGTATACGCTAATCCTTTATTTTTAATAATAATAATATGATATATTGCAATTTATTATTACAAAGAGAAGCAGAAATCTTTGTGTTGGGAGTCATTGAGAATATACCAAGGGCTCCAGAAATTAACTGTAGGCATATCTACTGGAATGCTTGTATGTTCTTAGTATTGGGCGGCTTAGATCATGGGTGGAAAGGCCTATCGGGAAATCGGAATTTTCCCGGTTGGCCCCTATCTGTACCAAATTTTGAGGCAATTTAGAGCGAAGTAAAAATTTAAGTAAATGAAGCCGCAGATTGAGCGCTTTTCATTTGGCAAGTAAGTGTCAAATAGATAAACGTATGTCGAAAATTAAGCTCAGATATTTTGCTTGAATAACAATTGGAATTAGGATGCCATTTATGTATATTAAGAGCAATCGATGGGTGACAAAGTAACAATAATCTAGGTTGACTTGGAACTCTTAGAAAGGTTAACTTGGGTTTTCCATTTGTGGAACTACTTAGCATGATTAGATGGTTTTGAATTTTAAGAGATGCTTGGATAGTTGGATAGAATCTATATCAGTGTTAAGAATGGCTGTATCGTTAATTGCAAACGTACCTATTAGTCAAGGTTTATCTATAAACCTATTATATAACCTATTATTAATAATGCTATTAGTATACATTCGTTTTCCATAGGCCGTTGATAAAAACATCAAACAGATAAGGTGGTATATCACTATTTTGGAGAATTCCAGCCGTTATGATTCAGAAAATAGTATAGATACCGTTAATTTTGTTGATAAATATACGTTAGTTTAAGACTTTATTAATAAGTACGATAAGGTAGATAATGTTTAAGTTTGAATAAAAGTACGGGATGTCAAATACGGTCAATTTTCTGCGCAACATCTAAGAATATTTCAACTATTCCAAGGCATGACAATTTATTTTTGAGCATTGAGTAGATATGGTCAACTACTTAATGTAATTTGTTGATAAATGAACGTTTGACTTTAAAATCAAACTGAAA